AAAAACTACTAAATAGGATATGAGCCCACAAACCAAGTTGCCTTGAACCTGAACTTGGAGACGCTGATCCTGTTCCTCCCCTATCTGGCTGTATCTGTCTCCTATGGGTCACAGTGGAGAGCCTGAACTTGGGATGGAAGAGAAGCTGAGAGTTGTGTGGCCAGTCCCTCTACAGTTCAACCTCAGCAGCTGTCATCTGACCTGGGACCATTGCCAAAACATGCTGGAGGTTCTTCACTCGGTACGGAAACTAGGGTGGAGAAAATGCTTTGAAAATACGAACAAGTTAATACAGATGCCTTTGCTTTTGTTTTCAGTGTTTTTTGTTTTGTTTTGTTTTTTGTTTTTTGTTTTTTTTTGGTGGGTATCAATGTTGTTTAAATTCCTAATAACCTAGTAAACACAAAATATCTATCCTGACTTAGTCTACAGGGTGGCTCTTTTCTGGCCCTGAATGCCAGTGTAGGATTGAGATTCTGGAGCTAGGGCCAGACCCTGACAGCCCCAACAGATGAGGAATGTAAAAAAAAAAAAAAAAAACAAAGGAGGATTTCTGCCATGAGCTTTAAGTTCAAACAGAGAAGAATTGGGGAAATATACTTCAGCAGCTTTGGTTGAGGTGTTGTCTAATGGATCAATGTGTTACCTCTGGTTCTACAGGTGAGCCGAAGAACTCCATGTTCCTTAAGAGGTCATGGTAGTTCACAGGATATGATGGCTCTTGATCGAGGTACAGCCCACCCGTCGTAGACAATTGCCCTCACGAGGAGGGGTGGTTATCTATTGAGTAAGCTTTTCTATCACTGGAATCCAGAGTGAGCAGAAGTTTGGAACAATGATGTCACTGCCCCTTCATGCTGAAGGAGGATGAGATAGGTGAGGCAGACAGATAATTCTCTGAGTGACTATCATACCTAGGTAGAGTCAAGTAAACGCTGCACCAAAAGAAAGGAAACGGACACAGCCTTCAGGTGGAGATGCGAGCTTTGATCCTGCTGTGAGTTACCAGGTAGACCCTAGTGAGGAGTCAGTGCATTTTAGCAAAAACAGTTTCTGAATATCTATTCTAATGCAGGGAAGCATAGGAGACTGTTGAGTGCCGTGGGAACCCCATTTGGTTTGAGGTGATGTGCTCTTTTATTTCTAATAATAATCTTGGTTCCTTTAGCTGCATGCACTCTGCACACACACCTCTCTCCAAAGAGTGCCCCAAAGTAACCTCTGAACCCCTAAGCCCTTCTTCCCCTGTGTATTGAACATGAGGATGAGTCTCCTTGTCCCTGGTAACAATAAAACTCAGTGTTTATTTATGTACATTCCTAGTACAACTGAATGTGAAGGCTAGAAGGGCCAATCTGGCCTGAACTAGTTTTGGATGGTACACAATAAGGCAAAACTGTGTCCTCTAGTAACCTTCTAGGGAGAATCCCCTATTTGTCATCTTAAATCATAATGGGGCTGCATATGCTTAAAATTAGATGCATTCCAGACAGGGGCAGGGACAGTAAGAACAGTACTTTAACCTAATCTAGCAACAAAAATCGAGAACCACACAAACTAAGCTTCTTAGTAAACAGCCGCTCCTCTCAGAACCCATAAAAAGAGCCCCCAGGCTATTATCTGGGCCCTTGAGGATCTTCACTCATATTGCACCGACAATCTTTATATTCATCTTTAATCTGTCACTTCAATTCTACTTTAATCTGAATACAATTATCTTGTTTCTTTTACAAATCAGTATGAGCACCCACACACACACACCTCTTTTTTTTTTTTCAATTCTTTAGGTAAGAGACCAAAACCCAGAAACACCCAGCCCAGACAGACCCTGTAAAGACCTTTACCAGAAACCTGGTAAAGACCTCAGTGTGGACTGTATTTTTCCAAAGCATCCTTCATCTCATTTCCCCTATGCTCAATAAAATTGAGAAACTTGGTATTTCATTATGGCAAGGTGTTCTTGGAAATTTGATCTCATGATTATAAAAATGAGCATACTATCATTATCCTTCCATTGAATGAGAACTTAGCTGAAACGGTGGAGTTGGATTCCACTTTCCTGCTTTTTCTCAGCAACATTTAAACTCAATAAAAAGAAAAGCAGTTATGCATTTTCTTTATGAACTAATAGTTCCCTTATCTCAGACCTTAAATAAACATGTCACAAGTTAAATGTTTGATGGAAAAGATACTTGAGGCTTGCTCTTTATGTAAAACACAAAACCACACCTCTGATGTCAATGTTTATGTGAGAGATGGACTCTTCAATTGAGAACACAGAACATGTCAGCCTTCCCTGGATCCATTTCTGAGTCATGGTCTAAGGAAATTTTCCTAATGGTGGAGCCCTGCACTGGCGGAACCCACGGCTGCACAAAGTGTGGGAATCCTACACTCCGTGATTAACGTGAACTAACCTACGGATCACAAACAGCTGAAAACAAGCGTGTGAGGATGGCAGTACCACAGGAGACTGAGCCAGGAATACCCTCTCAGAGTAAACCTACACTTCTTCCGGTATTCATGTTTTTACAAGGTAATAAAATCCAAGTGCAAAATGAACTGGGGAGAAAGAAATTGTCTTTGAGAAGTGACAACTCTGAGAAATCAGGCTGCTGCTGATCACAGCAAGGGCCACTGTCCTGTTGTTTCTTGGAAGAACTTCTTGACCATTGAAGAGAGATGTTCTCAGGTTGCCATGACCTCTAGATCACATTCAGAGGAGAGAAAGATAGACTTCCCGACACCGGCACCCTACAGTGCCTCACTGGTAGCTCTAAGGAACCATTTTGGGGGAGTTGATGTGATTTACAGAAGCAATTGAATTCAGTGTGTTTATCACATTGGTAAGTTGAGCAACTAGGACATGGGCTGCTAACTCATGCCAAGACAAAATGTCCACATGCTTAGCCTGTAGAAATGGATTTTGAAAAAATACTTCTAACTCACTAGTAGTATTGATATACAAATTCTAGTGGTGTGTTCATGTTTAAAATCCATCTACCAGAATACTGATATAGCTCAATTGATAAGTGCTTGGCTAGCATCCACAAAGTCCTGAGTTCAATCCCCAGACCAAATAACCTGCGTGTGGTTTTTCCCACATGTAATACCAGCACTAGGGAGGTAGATCAGAAATTCAAAGTCATCCTCAGCTATACATAATATTCAAGGCTAGTCTGGGCTACATGAGAACCTGTCTCAAAACAAAATAAAATCCATGCATCAGCTACATTTCAAAAACATTGTAAACAATTTTCCTGTCAACGAAATTTTTCTCAAGAATATAGTCTTCATTCTTCCAAAGGAGAAAATGGTTCTTCCTGGGGACAAAGTAAGGGTGTACTTAGAAAAGGTAGAAAATAAATATCAAAGTTTCCAATTTTCATGGTGAATATTTCTTTCATATTAAAATGTTACCCCAAATCACATTAATAAAACCACCACCATCTACCAGGTCAGCCAAGTGAATAACTGCATTATTGAAGCTGTCTTGATATTTTTAAAATACAAGCAACCACAGAATTACAGTCCACACCCAGGTCGTCTCCAACATACTGTCATTTCAGCACCTTTCTGCTGCCACTGTACAAGACCAAACCCCCTACCAGTCATCCTCCAGTGTCCTATTACCTTGGACAACCCAACAGAAGTGATATTATTTCAGGACATATCTGAAAATAACTTTTTTTTAATAACCAACCACCTGCATGGCAGGAAAATCACAGGACGCAAATAACCATCCCTGCATGAGACGCTGTCGCCGGCAATCTCACGAGGTAATGAAACCAATTCCACACTTTGCTGGTGGCCTGCCACTGGAGGACAAAAACCAAAAGGTTTTGATCATCCTGCAAGTGAAGCCTAGTAGAATTCCTGAATTTAAACAAAGAAGAAAGGCAGAGTGCCCTGAGTTCATTGTTCTCAGCTATTTAATTGTCCTCCTGATTCAATGTTCATCCAGGTGCATGAAGCACTCCTAGACTTCTAGAGACCAAACTGAGCTGAAATGAAGAAAATCATACCCAAGCAGAGAAAAGATAGGATTACAGCAGCAGGGAGCTGCAACCCACAAATCTGAATTTTGAGCTCAGGCAAACAAGTTCTTCCAAATTCACAAAACGAATTCTCTTGATCATTCTTCCACTGATGGGTAAGTCAGAAGGAGTTTGAATCAACTTGTGAGATCCCGGGGAATTCAAATGCCTGTCACAATAGATGATAACTGAGCCCACCACACCCTGCAACATCCTGCCGAGCTCAGACTTCTGATGAGATTATGAATGGCACAAAGAATCTATTCCTCTAATGGACTGGAAGGAGGGGCATGTGGCCAGAAACAAACGAGTAGCCTAGTTAGTGTGCACAGGTCCTGTTTTCCCAAAGCCCGATCCACTGAGAGAACTAGAAGAATGAATTTTTTTTGAAGTCTCTCTTCAACTTTAAGCATTTCAGACAAGATTCAATAAAAAATTTTTAATCTAATTTTTGTGCCAGCAAAGCCCATATAAATCAGCACAAGCCCTGAAAAATTGAAGAGGCACTGTGTTTTATTGAATCCATAAATCTAAGAACTTAGCACTTAAAGAACAATTTCTCTCTCTCTCTCTCTCTCTCTCTCTCTCTCTCTCTCTCTCTCTCTCTCTC